TCAAGCTTGCGTTCTGATTTGAAGTGTGGTGATGGATCTGGGTGGTGCAATGCAGGTGTTGCACAGTTTTTTAGGAAACTTTTAGGGTCTATAACCCAATCCCATTATAAGGTGAAACATGTTATAAAGTGATTTTACCTTTTAACACATGTTGTTGCGTTCTTTTCTAAAATGTAATATCTTGGTTGTTGTGCAACCAAGGTATGGATATTCTAAAGCTTCTTAATGTATGGATAATTATAAAAGGCTCTTAAAACCTCTCACATGAATCACTTTACTAACTGATTATGTTCTATAGAAACAAAAACCAAGTTTAATTTTTTAAATATCTAAATTGGTTTGAAGTCTGACTGATTTAAAATAAAATTGTGATAATTCTGTTTGTCTCGGATTCAAATCTAAATTCAGATTGCCTTTCAAGGTTAAAAATAGCAAGCCCTTGGTAGCTGTAATGCAATTATTTAATGGTTGCTTGCCGCACAATTTTACCAAAAGCTAAAGAAAACATAAAAATAAAATTTGCTGCGAAACCAGGTAATTGCAGTTATTGTAATGGCTTACAATTTGTGAAATGCCATCTATGTTTCTGATTTAGATTTTCTGTGTTCAGGTTGGAAACACTTTGACTGGCTTAACATTCGTGTCGTATCCCATTTCTGCATGAAATAACAGATAGTAGGCAGTGAATTATAACCACCAGTTCAACCCAGCAGTTAGGATGAAATCATAGAGCACCAGAAGGTAGGTTAAAGTGTTTCTGAGTATCTGCAGAGCTTCCCAAACTCACTGTCAGTTAATTGTTAACATACTGTGTTTTTGAATGGGAAATGATTCAGCTGGGGACCATCTATTAATAAAATAATATTAATCCTTGCATTTGATATGATGTCCTTCAGTTCAGGAGGGAGCGCTTCACAAGATATACTGAAAAGTGCAGAGACTGTATTTTGTAGGCGAATGCAGCAGCAAATCTGTATTCAGCAGTGTCCCAGAAACAGCCTTGAAGTGATTGATCAATTTTTTATTTGGGGAATTGTTGGTCAGACATCGAGAGAAAATCACTTCTTTAACGTCCAACTGAACAGGCAGACAGGACCTCGGTTTAACATCTTATCCAAAGGACGACACTTTCAACAATGCAGTGTAACCCCAGCACTGCATTGGGAGTGTTAGCCTACCCCAGACCATGTGTTCAATGTCCTGATATGGGGCTTGAACCCACGACCATCTGACACAGATGTGAGAGTGCTACCAAATTCACAATGCATTAGTGACTCAAACTTGAAAGAATGCTGGAATTATAGCAACAACCCTACCAACCCAGCCACTTCCTTTGTTCAGCAACCACTAACCTGCTTCATGTCCTCGTGCTATTTACCCTATCATTGGAGGGTGAACTTTCAGCCAATCTGCTCCTTCTCTACTGAATCTCTCTTCCGGAGTCCCTCTGACTTATTCCCTTCCTCCCCACTTTGAAAGCCTGCCTCAAAACATATCTCTTTGATCGTGCTTCCAGTCATCTTTCCCTTCGCCACTGACTTTGGCTCCCATCCCCAGCTCAGGTGCCCAAGTGGCATATCAAGCACTTGGAGGTGTCCTCCCAGTGTGAAAAGTGCTGTGTAAATGTGTATTGCCTTGTCTCCTTTGATGGCATGCTAGCAAATGGGTTCAAACCTAACCCTGTTGAGATTGGGAGATACACATCAGAAGAAAGACTGTTACAGACTCTCCCAACCTCAACAGGGATAGAGGACAACTGGAGAGAGACAGACTTCTCTCACACATTATCTCACAGATAGTTTCTATAGATCATGGTTCTTTTTTTAATGTAATTACAATTATTTTTCTAATTTTCTCCCCATTGGCATATGCTCTATTTCTGGTCCACTTGCTGTGGTGTGGTGCTAATTGGGTACCCCATCCAAGTGGCCTTTATTCACATGGGAGTATCAGCAGGTCATTCGACTATAGAGGGTGTCACAACTCGTGGTTGCCCTCTACTCACCCAGCCGCCACACACATATACGTTACCAGTAGAATGCGCTCAGGAGCTACCAGGATGAGGGCCCCGGCTGGCTTTACCCTCATTAATTCTGGGAATTTAACCTTTCCATGTAGCCCTGGTTGACACCAGCAAAGTTGACATGGAGTGGGATTCAAACCAGCGAGCTCTCAGTTCAGAAGTTGCAGCTCTATCCAATACACCATCAGGGCTGTCCCACATGGTTTGTTCTTTATTCTTTATGTCCTTGAACAAATGTTGCTGCGTGCTACTAATGCAATTCTCTTGTCAAGCTGTGTACAAGCAGTTCACAAGGTCACAAGATTTGTTTGGATGAAGAAGGCTCTTTAACCCATCTGATCTCATCGCTCCAGAATATCTACCCTCGCATCCTCCCATCACAACATCAAGCTGCTTTTTATACGTCCAGGGTTCTGGCCTCCACTATCGTTCCTGGCAACCTGTTCTAGTCGCTAATTACTCTCTGAGTAAAGCAAAATGTCTTGGCATCTGTTCTGAAATTGCCCTGTGTAACTCTAAACCTATGTCCTCTTGTCCTACTGCCTTGGTGCATCCTGAAGTAGTCCTTATAGAATGGTTGTTATGATTCAAAACAATTATTTTTTAATATGTTTTAATTTTTATTTTAATTAGGTGAAATCAAAGCTAACCTTGTTAGCCATTTATCACCAGTGATAAACGGCTAAATATTTGATGAGAATGCCTTTGCCAATTTGGTGTTTGCCATAATTTAATCGGACATCTGGTTCACGGCAAAAAAATGCAAACTTTTGTGGGAGGTCTGTTATGATGACTAATTTTTTTGAATAGAAATTTCAGCCCTGAGACAGGGTTGACTGTCTGAGTGACAGGGTTGACTGTCTGAGTGTCTGAGTAACAGAATGACTGAGTTTGAAATTTGAAATGATTTATTGATGAAATCTCATTATTGTGAAATAAAAGGAAAAGAAAATAGAAGACTATCTGGAATTGTCAGATTGGTCATAAATCCGAGTACATTTTCATAAGTTGATAAGTTGTAGGTGTTCGCCCAAAAACAGTCACTACATTTTACAGTAAATCTTGTGAAGCACTTTAAGATCTTCTCTCAATGTGAAAGGTGCTATAAAAATTATAAGGATTATTATCAGAAAAGTTGCAGCATATTTGAGCAATGGTATGATATTTATCTCTCATTCTTGTTCTTGGTTATAAAAAGTCTGAAAAGATAATGATCTATCACCCTCACCCTCTCCTCAGAACAATGTCCCCCACTATGTACTCTACTTAATCCCCTGAGAGAGGGATTCATTCACAGGAAAGACCTTTAAGAAGATAACATGCTGTGTTATTTGTCCCTGACACCAAAGGCAATCAAGAAAACTTCCAGAATATTAATCCAACCTTGTAACTCGCTCTATTTAACTGTGCCTTGTTACATTACACAGTTTATCTCTATCCCAATAACCTCTATCTCTATCCCAATAACCTTCAATCTCATTCTTAATTAGATACTTATCTAACTCTTATACTGTGTATACTATTGAGAGAGGAACCTAATTACTCGTATATGTCACTCTTCACATGGGAATTTCCATGTGTAAGTGGGATTCGTGGAACTCTCAGTTTGGTTTGGATACTCTTAAGCATTCTGATGGGTTTTTGCATGTGTCAGACATCCGACTTACCAAATAAAATATCACTCTCCCCATTGCATAGCTCAAAGCATTAATAATTGGAGAAGGGAGCAGAAAGTTATGGGGTGAGACGAGGGAAGGGTAATTAGGTTGGGAGAAACTCATGTGGAGTATAAACCCCAGCAGAAACTAGTTGGACTGTATGGCCTGTTTCAGTGCTATAGCTTCTATGTAATTCTATACAATCTATGAAATTCTATACAATGCAATGATTTTGTATTGTATTGTAATCATGTTCTGACCATGGACTATATGCAGAACACTGAAGCACTGAAAATGTGCAAAAACATTGAAACATAGTGTGTTGAAAGTTCCTCAGTTGTTGAATGGACCATTTGGGAGGTTTCAACGAACAGAAAATATGGGAAAGGAAAGCCAGTGCAATTGGCACAACCATGCATATACAACAGAGGTGCACATCTTACTGCATGCAACATCTTATTAAGAGGAGTGTGACCCCAGAATAACTTGTTTTGCCTGAACCTTCATTTAGATTACATGTTTGGCGGGAGATTCACAGAGAAACATACAATATAAAGGCAGCAGTGAAGAAATGGAAAGATCATTTGCTTTTTTCTTCTTCTGGGAATCTAATATTCTACATTCACAGCACTCTGAAGAAAAAAAGGAAATTCCTTCTAATCTTTCCATTTGTTAGAGCCATGTTAATTTTACCCTCGAGTCCTGTAGCTTTGCAATCATGAACTAATTAAGTAATCTGTTTTCATCTATGTCATCTACTTTCATCTAATATTCCTGTTGCTGCTAAGACCCCTGCAGAAAGAGAAAAAATGCTGCGGTTAGACTGGTGCCTCCTCCTAGTCCTCTTACAAGGCAACAGCTCTATTCATCCTCAGCTAAAATGAGGACAAAAACAGGAAGCAAAGTGACGTTTGTGAAAACTGTCAGTAAATACAACTCAAAACAAAAACTGAAGTTGCTGGGAACACTCAGCAGGTCAGGCTGCATCTATAGAGAAAGGAAAATGAGTCAACATTTCGGGTCCACGACCCTTCGTCGGAACAGATTTGTTTTCAGATTTCCAGCATTTGCAGTATTTTGCGGTTTGTAGTAAATATACCTCACTTGGTAATCCTCTACCTTTTGTTGTCTGCACACCAATAATAACTTGCACTTACACCTTTCACATAGGATGAGTGTCTCAAAACATTTCATATTGGATGAATGTCTCAAAGCCTTTCACAAAGATACACAGGAATCAGAGAAATGCAAACCTAATTGTAGCCTTGTTCCATCTTTCTGCATGTGACAGCTTTGTTGCCTCATTATAAATGCTTTACCTGAAGAAGCAGATCTTTTCCCTGTCTGCTGATGTTCACACTGTGTGGCTGCCCATTAGCCAGGTTCCTTTGATCCAGATCAATCTTATATGGTTCCTTCGTACCTCCTAGACTGTACCGAATCTGTAGACTTCCTGTAAGAATCAAGATTTCTTCCTATTAAATACAGTTTCAGGCCTGGTTAAAAGCAATGAACCTCCTTCATTCAACACCTTTTTAATACCTTAGAAAATGGAAATGATACAAATCCTGTATATGTTTACATTTAATGTCATAATAAATATTTGGAGACAGAACCACAGCAACTAATTATATCTGTCAACACTTATAGGAAATTTGATAGAAAGTTGCTACTGGAGTAACAATACAAATATAAAGCAGGTATGAAAACAAACTCAACACTAGATTCATGCTTGCATACGACCAAGTTATATTGCATTTGACATAGTACCTTTCACAACAGGATGACATCTCCAAGCGCTCCACGGGACTTACTGTAAAATATAGTGACTGTATTGTGTAAGTGAACACAGCAAACAATCTACATACAGCAATGACCCAGAAACAACCATTAAGTGAATGACCAATTTTATTTGAGGGATTGTTAGCCAGGACTCAGGGAGAAACTTTCTTCTCTTTCTGAATAGGCAGATGAGGCCTTGGTTTAACATCTTACACAAAGAACAACATCCCCAAAAATACAGCACATGCTTGGCATTGTATTGGATTATCAGCCTGGACTGTGAGTTCAAAGTCCTGACATTTAAGAAGAGAGAGTTAGAAGTGAGAGTGTTGGCAACTGAGACCAGCTATCACTGAATTTTGCAAGTAAACTATGTTTAAAACCATATGTGTTCCCTCCTGAAGTGACAGATTGTTCAATAGCTTACTAGTATTGTGAATCAGTAATCCAAACTGCTTCTGGCTGTTGTCTCTGAAGATCAACAAATGGACGCCACTTAATAGAGGCCAATGAAGTGTGACCCTGGAGTAAGGGATGGCAAAATCCGCCTATTAGTGCCGTACCCTGGAACCTATTCACTGGAGCTTTCAGCAAATTTACTGTAGCCCTGAGTTAAGAGCATAAGAAAGAGTACAAAGAGAAAAGGCCACAAGCCTCATCGAGCTTATTCATTCCTAACGTCCACATACAATCTGTGTCATAATGGACTCTTCTGAATTTTATTACTCACCCAAAACAGGCGAATAACAAGAAGCAAAACTTTGGAGAAAATAAAATTCTGAAATGGCTCCCTAAAATAATCCCAGGAATCTAATACTGCTTTTACACAATGCAAATCTTTCTCATTGCGGATCTTTCCCAGCAGCTGAACATTCAGCAGTGGCTGTTTTTTTCTTACTCATTACATAAGCAATGCAATGGAATCACACACTCTGAACATGTGTGTAAACTTGGCACAGTCTTCTTAATATCCACATAATGACTCCAGTTTATAGATCATTGCCAAATGCTTTTGTTAGTAAACCCGATCTGTCAAGCAAATTGCCCTTGGATACAAATCAAGGGTGAGATGATACACAAAGCTATATTTGTTGTTGTTGTTGTTGGGATACCCTTAAGCAGCCTAAAAGGAAAAATTGGGAAAGTATATTGGTGTCTTGGTACGGATTCAAAGGAATCCATTTTCCCAGGAGGAACATGAACGAGGAAAGCTCAGTACCAAGAGAATGTGCATAAAGTAGGTTTGATTAAATGATTTTGCATGTGGTACATACGTTAGGGAGTAGTATTTGAAAAGTGTTAAGTTCACTGAAACTCATTTTGCAGCAAAGTTGGTGAATGAAGTTTCTTTTGTATGAACTGAGCTGGGTCATATAAGTAAATCTTTGAGGTGGCAGGACAGGTAGATAAAGCTGTTAAAAAAGCATACGGAATACTAGGTTTTATAAATAGGGGCATAGAATACAAAAGTCAGGAAGTTATGATGAACCTTTATAAAACACTGGTTAGGCCTCAGCTAAGAGTACTGTGTTCAGTTCTGGGCACCACACTTTAGGAAGGATATCAAGGCATTGGAGCGGGTACAAACGAGATTTACCAGGATGGTACCAGGAATGAGGGACTTCAGTTATGAGGAGAGGCGAGAGAAGCCAGGATTGCTCTCCTTTGAGCAGAGAAGGTTAAGAGGAGACTTAATAGAAGTTTTCAAAATGATGAGGGGATTCGATAAGGTGAACAAGGAGAAACTATTTCCACTGGCGGTGGGTCGGTAACCCGAGGACATCGATTTAAAATAGTTGTTAAAAGAAACAGAGGGGAGGTGAGGAGAAATATTTTCACACATCGAGTTGTTCGGATCTGGAATGCATTGCCTGAAAGGGTGGTGGAAGCCGATTTGACAACAACTTTTAAGAGACAAGTAGATAATTATTTGGGGAGGACAAGTCTGAAGGGCTATTGGGAGAGAGCAGGGGAACGGGATTAAATTGGATAGCTCTTTTCAAAGAGCTGGCATAGACACGATGGGCCGAATGGCCTTCTTCTGTGCTGTATAATTCTGTGATTCTATGATATGCATCAATTGTGTTAAAACTGTATTGTCTGGTAGTAAAATAAGCAAACTTCACAATCAGCATTTCAAACCTCTGACAGAACACCAATTTTAGCACCCAGCATTTATTACGAATGAAGAATATATGTCTCATATTAATAATTCTTGCATTTATCTATTGGCAAGACAGTAATTAAATCAAAATTAAGACTTGATATAAAAAAACTGAATCACTGAGGAATTTTGGAAACAAAATACTTGTATTTTGCACATTTGTATGACAGATTCTACTTAAGAATTTGCTATAATTTTCTACCTCAGATGGGTGTCAACTTGACTCAGTTAGTAGCACTCCAGCCTCCGAGTCAGAAAGTTGTGTGTTCAAATTCCACGTTATGATTTTAACCTCCTTGTCTAAGCTGACACTGCAGTGCAATATTCGGGAACCAACACATTGTGAGAAGCGCTGTGCTTAGGGTGATATGTGGAGACCTGTAGCTTAGTGGTTAGAGCGCACGCCTCGCAAACAAGAAGACCTGGGTTTGATTCCTGGCAGGGCGAAATGTTGGGCAACTTTCCTTACTCCACATGCCTCTGTTTACCGAGCAGTAAGTAATTGTTAGTCGATCGCCAAATCGCTTATTCGGGGGTAATAATTCCCTAAGAAAAAATTGGTCACTCAATCCCCACTGTTTGTGGGACACTGCTGTGCACAATTGGCTGCTGTGTTTCACCCACAACATACATAGTCAATTCACTTTACAGTATATTCTGTGAAGGAATTTGAGACACCTTGAAGATCTGATAAGGCGCTATATCAAATGCAAGGATTATTATTACTATTAAAGTGAGGTCGCATCTGCCTGTTCAGACGGATGTTAAAGATCCCATAATACTATTGTATTTGAAAAGAGAACGGAGGTTTTCCTGATGGCTGTTTGTGAGTCATGTTTCTCTTGATGACTGTTTATGGGTCACTGCTGTGCATTAATTGGCTGCCACATTTGTCTTCAATTACACAGTTCCTACAATTTACAGTTATCTTGGGAACCGCTTTGAGATGTTTCCAAGACAAGGTAAGGTGCTGTATCAAATGCAAGGATTATTATTTGTCTGTCATATTCTATTTTCTAACCGTGAACATCACATAAAATTTTGTGATGAGTTTAGTCAGGATCTTTCGATACAAGGGGTGAGCAAAAATCCACTTGACTACAATAGAAGGTTCTGGGATAGATTATCGGGTTGGGGAAATTAAATTCTTGCATGGCTGCATCATTTGTGCACAGATTAGACTGAAATCAAATTGGAATCAAATAGTTTTATAACATACCTCATGAATCTATTATTCTCTATGTAATGCCAATATTTAATTTTTTTTTGAATGATGGTATTTTACATCAATTAACTCATAGGATGAAAAGAACGATCTTGTATTGCAATGAATATAGAGCTGTTGCAAATAGCAATCTCCAGTTTAAAATATGACAGGAAATAATAGTAAAGCTTTTTTTTAGAATTGAAAGGAAGAACAATTCAAACCAGCTCAAATGCTGACTAACAATCATGGCTTCTTGCTTGCAAAGCTTTTGCTTAGCTGCAAAAAAACATATTTCCTTCAATGGTTCAGCAATTTTGTTTATATACATCTTTTACCATATCCTAACATGGAAACAGATGCTTCTGTTTTAAACACAGTCTAAGATCTTTAAAGTTTTTGCTTTTCAGGAAACTTAATCGAGGCAGGTACCAAAGCCAATTTTAAACAACAATAACCTTGAAACCTCTTTCCCCTCCCCAACTCTTCAGCTTCTACTCCCAGCCAGCAATGTAAATTTGTATTGTAGAATAGGAAGCAAACCAGGGAAACAGTCCTTTAACACTTGTTTTAATTCTTGCTCAAACAATTGTCCTATAACAGAACTATACTTTTATTAACTTCTGATTGCCTGTCATGTGCTTTCCTTCTGATTGGAATTCCTTAGCCACACAATAAATATTTTCCCTTGTGTCGGACTACTTTCTCCTACTAAGACTTAATATTCTAAAAATGTAAGAACATAAAGCTTGAAGAGAGAAAAGTTCATTCATCCATCAAGCTCACTCCTTCCACAAATCATTAAACAGACCCCACCCAGTCTATCTACTAAAGTACTGGATAGATTCAGTACTTCCTGCATTGCAAAGGGACTCAGGTAGTGTGGAGTCCTGTAGCTCAGTGGTTAGAGCACTTGCCTTGCAAGCGAGACACCTGGGTTCAATTCCAGACAGGGCGAAACCTTGGGCAAGTTTCCTTAATCCACACGCCTGATAATAATCCCTCCAAAACTAAAAGCAATAATAAATGGGTCAGTTTTAATCCACAACTGTTTGTGGGACATTGCTGTGGGCAATTGGCTGCCGCGTTCGCCCACAAATATACAGTCAATTCACTTTACAGCATATTCTGTGAAGCGCTCTGAGACATCTAGAAGACGTGAAAAGCGCTATATAAAATGCAAGGATTATTATTATTATTATTAAACTCCAGAATATCCATCCATCTCTGCACTTCCAGTATCTCGGCCTGGGCTTCTTCCTACACTGACAACATTTGTTTCTCCTCCAAGCCATGAAGTACAAAGAACATTGTGTCATAGAGTATTTATCCATTTTACTCTGCACCTATCCCTAAATCCCTCAAATAGATATTTACTTCTTGACACAAAATCAATTCTCTTTTCTCTAATCTTCAGTTATATTGGAGCTTTTTATTTTGAAATCTATTTCTTCATTTCTGCTTTTATGGTCCATAACTTGGTTACATCGACCTCTCTATGAACCTCATCATTTTGAAGAATGGGATCCTGTCCCACTCAATCTCTTTTCTAATGAGAATAAAATTAAGGATTGTAAGGCTTTCCTCACATTGTAGAGATCTAAGTGCTGCAGTCGTCAATGTCACTACCCTCTAAATCAGTGGTGGCCAACAAAATACATTTTCTTTACTGAACATTTGTTGATTTATGCAATAATATTCAATTAAGAGAAAACTGGAAACAAAATATTTTAATTAAAAGCAAACTCACCTAGATGTTCTGTGGATCACTTCTTGCTTGGCCTGTGGGCCGGAATTGGCCACCACTGCTCTAAACCATTTCCAACACATGTGCTTTTTGTTGAAGGACCACAAAATTTCACCTTGTCTTAGACTGTAAGGCTATCTTGTCTTAAAATTAAAGAAAAATCTTAATTCACCCTTAATTTAGAAGTCTTTCTTTTCTTAAAAAGAACCATCTTCGAAATTTAAACTGAATTTTCCACAATTCTAGGTGATCTAACATTTAAAACAAAATGGTCTTACAGACTAAAACTAAGTGAAATTTCAGGCCTGCAGTGCCTAAACTGCACACTGACAAGTGAAATTTGTGGTGCATGTGATAGTTAGCACATTGAGTGAGCTAGAGATGGGCCTGTCCTCAGTTCGAGAAGTTGGGTCCAAAACAGACATTCAGTTCGAGATCATACTCAAAAAAGATGGTATTCTGCTATCAAGCAGTTGAAGGATGCAATCCATGAGCTGGAAATTCAATACAATCTCAAGGGGGGGACCATCGCCAAGCCTTTGGGGGTAAAGAGATACTGAATGAAATGTTTCCTTTTGTTTCAGGGGGAGCTTTAGTTACTCTAAGATGTTTAGATGCTTCAGAGAGTTGGTTTATGGAGTCGCTTGAACATCACTGACAGACCTGAACCTGTCTTCACTTGCCACTCATACACATGCATGAGTGGCATTCTCTCCTTAACCCGAGAATCCTGAGGTTAATAGCAGTGCCTTTCTCCACTCAAACTGAACTCTGCTAACTCAACATAGCCAAGGGATTGAACCTGAGACCTTTGTTATCTGTCTGGATCTGGTCCTTATCCTGCATTCTGTTTACACCTCACATCTAAAATAGAATTAACAAGCATGGAGATATGGAAAAAGCCTCCACATTTTTCAAGCCATGTGTGGGATATCATAGAATCATAGAATTTTACAGAACAGAAGGAGGCCATTCAGCCCATGTTGCCTGTGCTTCCTCTTGAAAGAGCTACCAACTAGTCCCACACCCCACTCTTAAAGAATCATAGATCCAAGGTTTTGCCCTGCCTGGAAATTGAACCCAGTTCCTGTTGCTTGCGAGGCGAGTGCTCTAACCACTCTGCTACAGGACTCCTGTATGATCAGTAAGAGGGATTTATTTGCGAAAAAAGGTCCTGAAGAATTACAAAGTTTCTCACCATTGTGCTTCAGAACCACGGCCATGTAATCCTGTAAGTAGGAGCTGATGTACAGGAGGATGCTAGGAGTGCTGGTAGTGCTGAAGCTGAACACCAGGTCTTCTTTGGACAGAGTAAGTTCAGAACTGGATGGCTGAGGTACACTGACCGAGTCCTTAGCAACACCAACGGAAGCCTGGAAATTGTATCGTATCCAGGTTCCAGCCTCAAAAAAGCCGCCGACATCTGCAATGAAGACAGACATTAGTGAGAACTTCATGAAAAATACATTCTTCTACTGTACAGACTAAAACTGTCACTATTAAGACATATTAGGCTAAAGAACCAGTCAAAGACACCAACAGTCTGCGCAATCTTAAATTTCAAGACAACGGTTTTAAGGTTAAGTTCATGAGAAATTTTGGACCCTAATTCCATATCAGTTTTTCTCAAGCCTCATTAATATGCTTCAACCACAATGTCAGAGTATCCCTACTGTACCTATGTGGTATTTTACTCTTCCGATACCAGCCATTCTGAGATTGCTAATTATTAGTGCAGTTAGTGCCAAAGCAATGGCAGACCTGTTTTACGCTGAGAGCTCAAGATTGCTCATACACATTGCATGCTGGATCCTTGGGGACTGAAAAACAGATGACAGACAGCATGTTTCAGACATTTAGCAAACTTAGGCCATAACATGATATTGGTAATGAGAAGGGATCTCCCCAAGAGACTGCAGATTGTGTCGCTGATATTACCAGCTTTAAAGAGTATATCCAGCAACTACCTTTGTTGTGTATCCGGATTAGTAAACTAGACACGATTTTCCTCACATGCATTTAACAATCCTGACCAATATTTGAATAACCAAATCTATATAGCTGTGGGAACTACTGACACAAATTACCCATAGAAATGTTTACTTGGTCTTCAGATTCACTTTCGTGGAACTTTATAAAGTCCAGTCATAGGAACATAGGAACAAAAGTAGATCATTCAGCCCATTGAGCCTGGCCCACCATTTAATTAGATCATAGTTAATTCCATTTCCCAACTTTTCACCTTATCTCTTGATATTCCTGCCTACCAAACATTCATCTCCCACTCTCTTAAATATTTCAATTGGCGTGACATTGGAATAAGCTCCTGAAATTCGGGTGGTTGGATCTTGGGCTCATCCAAGAAGCTTTCCTGTGACAAAGCCATTAAAATAAAAATTACATGGTTAAACCCAGATGATTAAAAAACAGAGGAAAGGACTCAGTTTTTGCTTGAGCAGCTTCGAGTAGGCTGGAGCAGAGGGAGGTCGTGGGAGGTCCAGTGGGAGAGAAGATGGGGAGGGCGTAGGAGAGAAGGACTGAGTGGGAGGAACGAAGGGTGGGAGTAGGAGTGGGGGCATTTTGGGAGGGGGTGGCTCAGGTCAGGAGCGGCAGCCAAGCATGCACCCTGAGACTGGGAGCAGAGTGACCAACGAGGCATCATCAGCCCATATTGGAATTTGAGGCTTGAGTTCCACATAGTCTACGCTGACACGCCAATGCAATGCTGGGGGTGTGCTGCATTGTTGGAGGACTTTCGGCTGAGATGCTAAACCGAGGTCCTGTCTGCCTGTTCAGGTGGAAGTTAAGAATCCCATGGCACTGTTTGAAAAAAGAAAGAAGCACACAGCAATGTCCCACAAACATCCATGGTGTCAGTGAACAATTTTCCTTGAGATGTCCTCCTGATGTAATATAATATAATACTATAATAATACTATAATATTATAATTACTATAAGAATTATTATTATTTGCTCCTCCCCGCCCCAAACCAATGTTAAACTCAAACATAAAGACATTCTAATTAAGCAAAGTATTGAGAAAGTGTCTTGCACACCTGATAGTGGACCCAAACAGGAATTGGAACCTTCAGGAGAGATATACGTTTAATCCATATCTGATCAAATGCAACCTCTCTCTCTGCAGGAAGAAAATGTTAACAGCGCCAACTGATCTCATGACAGATTAAACAAATAGTGCTTCACAAATATCTAATTTTTGTGATTTCAAGCTGTAACCTGTAAATGCACAATTACTGTGCATTCTGTAGCCATCTGAATCTTGCTGCTTCCTTAATGATTTATGACTGCATCTTCATTCAGCAGCCAGCAGCAGCTGTCATCTACAGAGACGATCAGCAGTAATGGCCGTAAAGTTAAATTACTGGAAAATGTGGATGATTTTTCATAAAACACAAATTTGTCATCAATCACATCACTGAACAAGTCTTTAATCCTTCCATGGATGCACCTGTTACTGAGATCCAAGGCTTAAAATTGGAGAATTGTGGGCTAGAATATGGAATTACATAGTACTTCAGAACATGGAAACATACTATTCAGATTAACTTGTCCTTGTAGATACTCGTGTATCACACAAACCTCCACACTTCCATATTCCCTCTCCCACAGCCATCTATTGCTTCAACCCTCACGTACATCACATTTCCTCTGAAATATGTTGATGGTTTTTCCTTCAACCACAGCTTCCAGCATTAACTTTCACATTCTCGCTGCCCTCCTTGATCATTCCTTTCACTTTCACCGGTAACTGTTTATTCATTCACATTGAAGATTATATTCAAAAGCAAGGATTATTATTATATGAATGTGTGACAGGAGCGATTTTTTAACTTATAACTGGTTTGCATGATTTATGAATATCTCTAAGTCTAATTAAAATAGAGCTCAATACAGCTGTAATACATTGTATGCCATTCAGTAAGATATAGTCACACCTTGGATGGTTACCAATTAAGTTATAATGGCTGGTGTACTGTTAGTGTATGAGACAGCAGTGTCTGGGAATAGATGAATGCCAAAGCATTACTAAAGTGTATATAAATCCACACCAAATTATTTTCAGTACAGGACATTGATTTTTACAGCCGTCTCCACAGGGAGTTGTTGATAAATAACACTTAGCAATTTTTTTTGTTTATCTGTTGCATGAATTTGCTTCATACAACAGATAACAGTTTGCCTACAAAGCACAACCACTCTATATTAAATCCAGTGAAATACTTTGAGACATACTCCAAATATGAACGATGTTATATCAAATACAAAGATTATTATTATAAGTGAAGATGTTCGAGTTAGAGCACACGCTTTGCATGTATGAAGTTCATTCCTCAACGTCTACACTGAGGTTGTCCAACCACTATCCTATTAGGTGGCGGCTTGGCTCAGTTGGTTGCACTCTTGCTTCTGGGTCAGAAGCTTGTTGGTTCATAGTCCCATGTTGGAAACTTTGAGCCAATGGTCTAGGTTGACACTTCAATGTATCTTTTAGAAGCCCTGTAATGTCAGAAGTGCCACCCTTCAGTTGAGATCTTAAATCGAGACGTTGGCTGCCTGTTCAGCTGGATGTTAAAGATCCCATGACACAGTTTTAAAAGAGGAGAGTTTCTTCCAGAGATCTGGCCAACTGTTTCTTCATACAATCGCTCCACTTAACAGTAATTACGCTGAAGTACTTTGAGACATTTTGACATGATAAAGAGCTACATCAAATGCAAGGATTAAGTAAGTGTGAAAAATAACCGAGAAAGACATTTGTACTGTACGAGTCAATATTTTCAAGTTTTGGAAGGGAGAAATACTGACATTTAAGAATCATCACTGCAGAGGAGCCATGCAAATAGTTTTAATTTAAAAACATTGCTACATTAAAGAAAAACCTTCTTGGGTTGAATCCAGCAATACGCACTTATCATTCACAGTACTTTTTATATTTTCTACTTTAAAAAAACTCTGATTCCCAAATTGGCTACTGCTCCCGCTTTAAAATTGTCGTGGTATACTTATTCGACCAATCTTTTCAGAGAGCAATCAAAAATGTCACTGTGAAATACAACGTGAAGTTGTAATTACAGTGTTTAGACAGAGTAAGCTTCATGGAATCTTTTCTCTCTCACTTTCATGTTTCTTTTTCATCTCAATAGGACAAACTTTAGATGCAGAGCAGATATACAGAACCACGAGCCAGAGTAAATCCTTCAACTGAATCAGAAGAAATTTATCTCAGCTTCAAGCTGCTTTTTAAATGAACCCAGTGTCCTGGTTTCAACCACCCTTCCTGGCAACTTGTTTACTAACGACTGAATAGGTTGTCAGGAAGGGGTGACCGAAGCCAGAACATTGGACACGTTAAAGAAACAGCTTGATGGGAAAATGGTAGGCTGGGTATTCAGGAAGAATGAGATCAGATGGGCTGAAGAGCTTCTTCATCTGAACCAATCTTATGATCTTGTGACGTAGGTTATTATAAGAACCTCCAAAAGGTAGAACTCTGAGTGAAGCAACAGCGACATGAATTCGAAACCTCCCTATTTCACGTCTGGTGTCAGCATTACTAAGCTTATGGTATTCTCATCTTCAGGTCAGAAATTTGTAGATTGACGCCCCATGTTAGGATTTGAGCTGATAGTCCAACTTATACTCCAGCACAGTACAGAGGGAGTACTGCATTGCTGGAGCTACTTTATTTTAGATATGTTAAACTGACAACCCATTTGCCTCTTCTGATGAAATTTAAAAAAACACAATGCTACTATTCAAGAAGAGAAGGGAATTCTCCTGGCGCCATCGTCAACAACCTACAGATCCATTATGGCTGTTTGTGGGTCTTTGCTGGTTACCACATTTGGCTACAAAATCAGCCACTACACTTGATAATATTATCAACCATGTGAAATGGCTTGAGATTATTTGACGTGATAAGGTGCTGTTCAAATGCACAGCTGTTGAGCTCTCTTGGCTATCTTTAACTCCTGATCACCTCTCCTGGTCTAATGCTGTGAGATACTACCTCACAACTACATGGACTACTTTTATTTTCAGTATTAAACCTCTGATACCTCAGAATGACACACACCTTGAACAATGTTGTTAAACAGCCCCTGCTCCACAACCCACTCACGTACTTTTGTCTAGCTTACAATGCCAAATCGTTTGCATGATCTCTTCTGGTTTTAGCTGAGAAAGAAAATAAAAATGACTCTTGACTTATATAATAATGAAGCTCAAATCATTCCAACTCAGCACAGACATAAAAGTCTTGAGGGGCTATCTTAAAATAGGAAAAGACTTTTGCATTATGTGGTGTGCACTCAACAAATTATCGCTACAAACTCATCTGGCTCTTGTGCTGATTTCTACCCAAGGCTGTTATCAGTAAAATAAGATATTTATTTTCTGTT